AACCGTGGAGGCCAACTGAATCCATTCAAAGTCTCTTTTCTTGATGTAATTATTTCTTTTCTTTACTGCTAACGTGCCACCACATTTTGATCACGCTTCTCCTGTGTGAAAAAAATAAAATAATTCCACAATAATATTATAAAACCTTCAGTTTATTATAGTAGATTAGTGTAGTGTTTTCTTTAAGTGTTGTTTGACCCATTTATGCACTGTTTACACATTGAAACTGGGGGAAACACATGAAAGTTTAATGTTGATCTCATAGATTAATGAGATTAATGGCATTAACAGTGCTGTTATTCCTGTTAGCAGCAGTGAAATGGACTGTGTCTTGATACCTACAATAGAGGCAAGAGCTCTTTTGGTAACCCTGTCAGTCATATGACAAATGTTAGTGTGAGCCATGAATGACAAAACAGGCCTGTAATGTCGCCTCTGCAGTTACATCTATTACCCAGATGGCCTAAAATAATGACACCTTACATTAAGGCTGAGGGAGTCCTTCCTAAATAGTCATACTAATAAATGAACTCAATTGCCAGACAAATTAAGGTTACATTTGACTTGATCCTTATTTTACAGATTTCGATAATTATCGGGATCACCCCAAAGTCTCATTACCGCCCTAATGAGGCGCTGCTACTCCGTGACATCTACCCCGCTCCATCTCGTTAAGGAAATCGCTCTTCAATGCTGATTATTTTATTTGGAGGTATAATTATATTTCTTTCGGATAAATCACGGGCCTAATCGAGTCCGTGCAGAGGGCAGCGGCGCTAATTGAGGCATGAGATGCGGCGGCGGGGCGCTGCACCTGCGGGTTTGTGTGACCGGAGGACCCACGCAGGCTGCTGCTGACAGCTCGGAACGTGTCGTGGCCGGATGAGAAAGTAACGTGGAGAAAACACTGACCCGAAATCCTGTGTTCAAGTGGACGGAAATACTCGCGTAGACTGCTTATAAAAATAAAAGCACTAATCAGACGTATTAAAGCTAATAGTGGCATGGCAGTCGGTGGGCTGATGTAGCTTTTTCCTGGTTAATCCGTTGAAATGCATTTTAATTTGCGTGCTTTGTAAACATGTTGCTCTGTAGTAATACATTTTTCAGACTGAGTACAAAGTGGACTACACATTTGCTTCTGAGATGCACGGGAACCCTGCGTTGCTGCTTTTTTACAGCTGTCACCTAGAAGTTTCATTTCGCGCCTTCCAGAGTCACGTGACTTATCAGGAAATCCAATTAAGTCTTCAGAAATGACTCCTTAATGAGCTAATTGTTATAACTTCGGAGCATGCTCGATAGCCATTTCCAACCTGAAAAAGGTTCCTTTTTATTCACCTGTTCTTTATTTGAAGTATCTACACTTAATTGTGGCATATTTTTTATTTTCCCCTATACTGTAGACAGTAGCCTTTATTTGCAAACTGTGGATTACTGTTAATAAAGTGGGTAGAGCCATACATATTCAAATTTCTATGCATACAGTGATTTTACATTTAAGGAAATGTTTTAAAGTAGGATATTATGTAACAGGCTACATGGTTTTACGCACAGCCCCCATCAGTCATTTCGGTCGACACGTTGTTTTCGTCATATTCTGCTCCTGAAACTTTGTCTGTGTCAAACTTCTTCTTTTTTCCCTTTTTTTCATTTCTTTTCTCTCTTTTTTTTGCCTGACGCAGAGCGGAGAGCTGTAGGTTGCAGCCGAGTTGCAGCATCAGCTGCAGCCGTTTCTCAGCTCCCTCGCCTCTGTATAACTTATTACTCCAAATACCCCAGACAGCCACCAAATCAGCTGCGTGAAACAAGAATCTCATTTGTTAAACCGGGAGTTCGTGCAGATGGAAGATCAATTGTTTTGCTCCTCAGAAATCTCGAACTGAGTGAATCCAGACTGCAAAGGCAAAGCAGGGAGAGCGAAAGAGAGAGAGAGAGAGAAGTTGCAAACAGTGGCCTGGGCCATGGTTTGGAGAGCCTGCACTGTGAACCAGAAGGTCACGGGTTCAAGTCTGGCCTGTTATCAAAAGTGCCTCCACCAGCAGCAATAACACATGGGTTTGACTACACCACATCGAGCAGTGTTACATTTTTATTTTCAGATATTTTTTTTTACTCTCAGTTTTATTAAAAGTCAGTTCTCATCTCCACAATGCGTGAAAATGTCTACTTTCCACTCAGATGCGCCGCATTAACTTTCGCGGGGGCGGGGGGATTTGTTTGTTTGTCTATTTTTATTTATATGACGGAAAAGATTGATGCGAGCATGTTAGAAGAATTTACAGGAGGATAAACGCAGTAATAGCTGTGCCTAGGTCATTTGCTTACCCTAATTAGCCAACAGCAGCAACACACACACATAAAATCTATTCACGCTGTAAGGTGAAAGGTTGCATTTAATGAAATACACTGTTATATAAAAGTAGACACTAACAGTAATAATATTAGGAAGGAATTAAAGATGTATGTCTGAGTCTCCATTGCACTGAAAATATGAAATATGTTTGATTTCATATTCTCGGTAATGGCTAAATCATTATATACAATCTAAAACAATTAAACCAGTTAAATAAACATGGGGGCCAATATTCCCAGCACTGATATTTAATAATAAATACATTAAAATAAACTTTGCATCCATAAAATAACTATCTCCTCTCCTTTATCTTTGTGCACAAAATTTTTAGGATTCGTTTTTTTTTCCCTTTTCGTTTTGTATCTCAGGCCCACATTCAGCACAAATATCTCACGCTGCTTGACATGTCATCATCACCTCTCACGTTGTGTCGACCTGCCGCAACGAGAGGAGTCATTCGCTCGTGTTTGTACAGCTATAAAAGCGTGCAGCGCTGGACAAGTCGTAAAACGAAGCGCACGATCCATCATCGGGGAATGTGAGGATTTGAAATGATCCTCACAGCTTTGGGGGCGTCAGGAAAACTTCCTCAAACACGATGCCAGAGGAAGAATATATTTCACTTCTGCATTCGAGTATTAATGCGATCAGTAATGACATAGACCCTTTTTGGTTTGTAAAATTTGGATTTAAAACGGT